CAGTTTCAAACCCTCACTGAGCATCCATGGCTGGGTGGATATTCAAACCCAAGCCTCCTGAGTCGTAGCCCATTTCACTGCTCTATCCACTACACCACACTGGGTATCGTGGCTGGGTGGATATTCAAACGCAAGCCTCCTGAGTCGTAGCCCATTTCATTGCTCTATCCACTACACCACACTGGGTATCTGATGCAAAAAAAATCAATTATTTAACTCCAGCTACCACTGAAACCTCAAAGTTCTAAATATATAGACATTTTCACTCAGATAACGAAGAATCCCAACCAACCACAAGAAAGGAAACCAGCAATTAAAAACAGACCATGCTGAGGCAGACCTTTAGTCTGAGCCAATTATCCACAATTGTGGCTAGAATGTTATTTCTCTATATGCAAAACAAACTAAAACAGCCTTTTGTTACAAACAAAACAACAATAACCCAACAACAACCTAAGACTCCTTGTACTCACACTCAAGGAGGATAAACTAGGGGAGCACAATAAAATTTTCAATTCAAAGTTATTTGTGTTTGGCTCTTCCCTTCCCTTGTCAATTTCTGGATGACAAGTACACACAGACATCAAGATTATTCTTATTCTAGCTAGGTAGCAAGGCTTATTTATTTTTTATCGCCCTTTAAAATGAAAAAATAATTGTTGTTTCTTTCTCATTTTTCAGATTATAAAATGCCCACTGCCACTGCACTTGCATATATTCTCTATAGTGAGTCTGCTATCTCCTGCTTGCAATTAGCGTTTGAGAAGTAAAAGGCTTCACAACAGATCTTAAGAAACAGTTCCATTACTACTAGGATGGTTGCAGAAGTGGTATGCATGTGACAATGATAACCATCAATGGAACTAGATGATACTTAATATGATAAGTATGTAATCAGTGTCATTCATATATGCCACTGATGATAGCCTAGAAGTATTATTTATTTTTCTGTCGCAACTTCTACTTTATCATTCCTCGAAAGAGATCGTTTCCACCATATTAAGAAGAAACAGGTGCTTACTATTCTTCAGAGAGACACACACACAAAAACCCCAAATGATCCTGTCCCACCTTCTTTATGGGACACACAAAAAAACCCCCAAATGATCCTGTCCCACCTTCTTTATTCTTTTCAGCTGTGTTTGTTGAATACCACCAAGGTTCCCATTTGTAGAACGCTTACGAATTCAGTCCACTGAAGTCTAATGGAAACCAACAAAATAATTTCAGGATTTTTACTTGGTGAATAATGTTTTTTGTACTCTCTAGTGAACATATTTAATGTACAGTATTAATGCCTTACATATTTAATGCATGGTTTCAATGTGCTCTACGTACAAGACATGTTGTTCCTTTCATTGATTTATGTGCATGGCATCTTCTCTGTTTTAATCCTCCTTGATTTTATTGTTTGAATACTACCTTGTGAGGGCAATGGGACCTGGGAGATGGTTCTTAAAATCCATTTTGTAAAATAAACATATAATAAACAATTATACATGTGCTGACATGTTTATATAAGTAATTGTCAATACTGACAGACAAAAGCAATGCTTAATATTTCTCTTCACCATCTATATAGCAGTACCCAGGGTCTCATGGTGTTGAGTACTAAGCTTTAGATTTTGTAAAACCCTTACCCAATAGCTGATTCAAGAAAGGAAGCCACAGCCTTGAGTTTACAAGAGCTGAATTAGGGGTATTAATGATATGATGTTTTGGAGGTCATTCATTGATAGGGTTGCCATTGGGCGGAGATGCGTTGACACCATGTAAGAACAATTGCTACACATTAACACTTTGGTAACCTGTTTTATTTTAAAGGTTTAAGCCCATAATTAATGTGAACAGGGGACAAATGGACATCTACATTAAGCAATATAAGTATGCCTCTTATATATATTAAACTGATTCAAGAAAGGAAGCCGCAGCCTTGAGTTTACAAGAGCTGAATTAGGGGTATTAATGATATGATGTTTTGGAGGTCATTCATTGATAGGGTTGCCATTGGGCGGAGATGCGTTGACACCATGTAAGAACAATTGCTACACATTAACACTTTGGTAACCTGTTTTATTTTAAAGGTTTAAGCCCATAATTAATGTGAACAGGGGACAAATGGACATCTACATTAAGCAATATAAGTATGCCTCTTATATATATTAAATTGCGGATCAATGTGTATTGGCTAGACTCTTAGTGTTACCTTGGAGAAAGCTATTAAAATATAAACTTGCACCACCACCACCACCACCACCACCAAATAATAATAATAATAATAATAATAATAATAATAATAATAATAATAATAATAATATCATCATCATCATCATCATCATCATCATCAGGCTAGACTAAACAACAACAAAACAAACCCTTTAAACTGAGCACATGGCCAGTCACAGTTCTCACAAAGCAGTTTCCAACCAACAGAAATGTTTGCCATGCCCCCACCTCAGTTCAACTGCCAATTCAGCAACAATAAGCACTGTGATTTCAGCTGGGTTAGTCCACATGGTATTAATGTGATGAAAAGAGCTTGACACACATTTTAAAACATTATGGATCAAGCCATTATACAAATAACATGTCTGATTAACATACTATATAAAAAAAGAGCAGACCAATAAAATACTCATACTGGAATAAAAAGCCCACAATTCACAGCAACAGATACACAGATACAGATATGAATGTAAATAACTGGGTTGTATCCACAGTTTGAGTAGACTACACCACTATTTCAATGGATATATACTTAAAATATGACTATAACTTAACCAATAATTTAAATACAAGTTCTACTATAAAGAACATTTTATCTGAATAATTAACAATGCTTCTGCTGACAGCTGTTAAACTAGTTTATTGGCCAAAAGGTAGCTGAGCTGTATACTCGGTCTATAAATACAAAGAATCATATTTTTATAGTAATTGCTAACATTTTCCTATCTACTAATATGTGCCTGGAAGAAGTGCTTTGGGTTTCTGTTAGAGATCGCCCTATTCACCAGATCTTTCCAAACTAGTTGGAATACCCAGTCTGAGAATTTATTTTTGAGCCTCTAACTTGAAATGTCTTATTTTCAATTAATTGTTTAATGCAATGCCTGTATTTTAATATATTTTCCAAAAATTTATTTCTGCTGATAACGGCATCAAGATTTCACATGCCACAACATTTCTGTCTTCGTTTTAGGTGCCCCAGTGTTTTTGTCTTTTTCTTTTTCTTCTTTTTCTTTCAGAATTTGCAAGACATGGTAGCACAGACTAATGTCTAAGAAACGGATTAACTAAATACCAACAACAACAAAAGGCTAAAGCGCATATAGGTGTATCATCAAATTAAGGTGTAACATACAATCATTTCTTTTGCTGTTTTTTAAAAAAAGAAATATACATTAGTTTTATGAATAGGTCCCAACAAGATTTGACTGGATTTTAAAGCAGGATCCTGTGCATGTTCTACTCTGAAGTACATTCCACTCAATTAAATAAGAATGTCTTCCATCTAAGCATAAACAAGAATATAACCTGAACTATTCTGCTAAATCAAGCCACCCAAAAAACCCAGCCTTAGCTAGTTTTCCCCATTTCACAAAATATATAACCAAACTCTGTACCTGCAAATCTTCTCCTAAGACTTTCATTTCAAGTTTGTTATAACTTACTGAATATCTTTACACTGAGAGCAAAGTCTGAAATTATTTTTACTGTGTAAAATCAACACACTCAATTCTCTGTCTTCATTGCAAAGCAAACATAGATTCTGATCTCAAGTCTATATAAGAAAAAAGCAATAATGTTCCAAAACCTTAAAATTCAGATAATCCCAGATTGTGATTTTCAATACTTGGGAATACAAAAGTTTTAATGATGAGTATCAGTTACCTTACAAAATGAAGTAAAGCAGTTGCTTTTATGATTTCATATCCCAACAAAAAGATTTAGGCTACAATCATAAATGCATTTACTGGGGAGCGGAGCCTGCTTCTCAGTAAACACTGACAGTATCAGTAACCTAATTTTGTTCCTCTTGTTAGATATAACCCTCTAGTTTTATAAAACAAAAACGATGTTAATGACGTAAATGAAATAGTAAACCTCCATATGGAAATTCTGATGGAGGCTCTCTTGTTATAAATTCCAATTTACTTTCATCACTTTTAAATCACACAGGGCCTGTTTCTTCAACAATTAATAACATTATATCACCATAAACTACAGTGATTAAATGATGAGCTACGGATACACAGACTACCCAGGCATACTCATTTTAGTATTTATCGAAGCAACAAAATAACCCATACTGTGGCAACAATTTGCTTTGCAGTTATTTTAAAAAGTTGCTCAGAATAATGATCAGAAACCGGAGTCAACTAGATTTTTATTCCATTTAAACTAAAACTCGAAACAGAAAGATCATAAAGTAACAATAAAATTATCAAAGTAATTAAGTAGTTAGTAAACAACCTTGAATATCAGATAAACTATCTATTAAAAATAAATCAACACTATTCAAATGATAGCAATATTTAAACATCTGTTAAAATATGTTTGTATAATTATAAATAAGGGAGATGTTCAAAAGTATCTCCAAATGACCCAAAATGTATTATTTAAATTCCCAGTAATTTACTATTTCCCCCTTACGGCAGTCCAGAGTTTAATTCAGATATATATCCAAATTTGTTTTAAAACGCTGGCAATAAGAAAATTCAGGTCTTCACTCAAAAGGCCTTTGAAAGTACAATCCACAGCTCTGAACAGTGAATTTTAGAAAAAACACTGACGTTTTTCTGAGTTTCAAGTTTTTAAGCCTTGTGGACAGGGAGTAGGAAAAAGGAAATTTACTAGGCAGTACAGAGGAAATCTTCTTGTCCTCTATTGTGGCTGTGGGGGTGTTGCCCAATTTTACCTTACTACTGCTTAGAAAGGAAATAAAAGAGAAAACCAACATTCTGAAAAATGTCTAATAAAATATACATTCCCTTTCTTACCTTAATTGTGCTCGCCATAATGTGATCTAGCTTATTGATCACTAATAATAGTCAATAATAATTATTGCTTCACTCTGACCAGAAAGAAGTTTTGATGAAGTTATTTAGAGCGGATGAGATTGTGCTAACTCTGGGAAATGAAGTCAGCCAGTGGCAGGAAGAGGCTTCTATTGGTCCTGGCTACTGCAGTTTGAAGAAACAGGATATTTGGGAGCTAAGAGATAAGAGGTCCTAAAACAATGTTGTTTTTCTTGACGATATGCAGCTACAAAATCTTTTTTTTTTAAATCAATTGGCCATGACAGTGTTGGCAGGTGTGATATGATGTGCAGTAAATATGGTCTGCCACACTGAAGCAGGATGCAGATGTTGCATGAACTGGGCCAAAATTTGATAGGGAGATCCCTAGAGAATTAAAGATTTTGGGCCAAATTTAGTTTTGGGGCAAATTGTTGCAATCCACTGACAAAAGTGGAGAACAACACACCTTCAAGAGTGAACCTTTCCCACTATGGATGTTATGAAGACTTGCAACAGATTAAACTACTTATCTATCTAGTCCAGTACCATCTACTCTAACTGCCCAGAATTTCAGGCCAAGACCATCAAAGCTGTACCTAGAACTTGGAAATGTTACTCTCTTTTTTTGGCTTAAAATTCCAAGAATTCCCCAGCTAACATGGCCATCGGCCATGCTGGCTGGAGATTCTAGGAGCTACACTTCTAACAAGTAATATTTCTGAGATCTGGGTCTCCCACTGAGTTTCAGTCCTTCCCTGAACAGGGGGAAAGCATGTAAAAAGATCTGAGTCAGGATCAAATAATGTCCCACTTTGTAGTTTTCCACACCTTGTTTCACCATGTGTGCTTCCCATGAACAGGCTCACTTGTGGTGTTGCAGTGTTTAATTAATGTCTGCTACCTGTTTAAGTGCTACCTGGGTAGCTCAATGAAAGGGAGACTACACTGACCATTACCCCGTAATTTACATTTGATTGGATGGACGCTGCTGGATTTGAATTAAAACCTGGTGGGAACACAATTTAAAGCTCAATGTGGGGAAGTGTGTTGTGGAATTGTCTCTTATGAGCAAGGAATTTGTTTTTGTTTAGCCAGTAGAGATGGTTTAAATTTGTTGTGATCAGCTTGATATTGTTCTTGTCCACTTTCTGCCAGTATGATTGCCTAATCCAATGTAAAAGAGCATTTGCAAGGGTATCCGTTCCCCTCCATCAAACACCCCTAGTCTTAAAATTGTTTCTTTTCTTTGTTTTCTATTTCTTCTTAAAGCTTTCAACTCAGTGCTGGAACACACTTTTGCTACGGCACACAAGAGAACAATTTCTTAAAAAGAGAGAGAGAATGAAGAGGAAATCACCAGTTAGCACTGGTTAATACTTGAGCTCTCTGCTTCTAGCCCAGTTGACTCATGCAAATTGTCATCAGGGTGGCTACAGTCATCTCACCTAGAAAAATCCAATCTCAACATGTACAAATCATAGTGGTTTGAAATGTACTTTCCTCATTGTGTATTTGCACCCCAAGTTGGATTACTAGAAGTTGGAAGTTCACATCCCTGCTATGCCTCCTGGGAGAAGAGACCGCTTCTGTGGTGTTGTGCAAAATACACTCTCCCCCTGAAGAAAGGAGTGGTGGCAAACCACGTCTAAGTGTTTTATACCTAGAAAGCCAGGAGTGAGAATATATCCTTTATGATATATTTTAAGGTGCTTATTTAACAATAAAGCTTTTTTCACTTTAGAATATCACGGAGGTATGTAGATACAATGCCCTGGATGCAAAGAAGCTGTTCTATTGGTGGAAATGTAAGGAGGACAAGCTTTCTTCTGCCTAGAGTACCTGTGAAGGGAAAAGCAGAGCTTCTCCAGGACGTGACTCTCTCTCTCTCTCTCTCTCTCTCTCTCACACACACACACACAGACACACACAGACACACACAAACACACAAAGAATTTCATGCCCTAATTATGCCATTTGTAAGCATATTTATTAGTGAGTGAGTCTTATATTACTCAGGGGTGCCTAAGCCTGAATTTCTGATTCCTTCCTCCCTTAAAACAAACAGGATTGCCCTTTTTTAAAATCAACAAAACAAGACTATCTCATAAAGCATTGCTGGGTCTTGTCAAATCAATGCAACACATTCCAATGGCAATGGAATGACTCTGAGATTAAAACATTTTATTCTAGGTATCCCTACAGTCTAAAGTAATCACCCACCTAATGTATGACGAAAGGTTCTCTAAAGTAGCCATTCTCAATGATTTTTGAATCTGAATCAAGATGGCACTGTAAATTGTGTTTTAATACTGCAACTGCTTTATTCTGTCCTAGCATGATCACTATGTTTACATCTGGAAACACCTTTAGCTGTTTTAATTTATATTTTTGCCAATTTTGTTGTGAGTTATCTTGAATCCCTATCCTAGTGGAGAAAGAGGGGGAGGAGGGAGGGAGTCACGACAGTTCACCTTTATTTCTGTACAATTTTATTTTGGGAATTAAATGTGCATAGTGCAAAAGTTATGTATTGGCCAAAATCCTGTGGCTTAGCATAGTAAACTGCACTAGAGTTGACCCAGGGACTTAGTGAATGAATTCCTCCGTATGTTCCACTGATTCAAATAGGCTACTTTTCTGCAACTGACTGTGCTAAAGTAAGCCTATCTGAATCAAAGGAACTTAAGCAGGTGTTGATTCAATTGGACTACTCTAATGTGATTTACTAAACTAAGCAAGAAGATCTAGCTATTAAATTTGAAAGAAAGTTTTAAATCCAAAGTTTGTCACAGTTAGAGCAGATTCATCGAATTTGATTAGTCACCAGAACTGCAGAGCTGGAAAGGAGCCTATGGATCATCAAGTCCAACCCCTGTCAACGAGGCACAGTGAGAAATTGGACTCCCAGCCTCTGACTCCACAGACCGAGACCTAAACCATGCAGCTATCTAGGTGTTCTTTTGGTCTGACTAATTCTGTAAGCAGAATTGAGAGTGGGCAACCTTTCTTTCCCACTATGGATCCCTGTGCAAAAATCTGTTCTGGAGAGCTGGGAAACCTTAATAATAATAATAATTTTCAAAATCAAGCTGTTGCTTGTAAATGTCTTTAAACAATCGAGGACAGGTTGCAAATAGGGAGAGCCATGTCAAGAGTCATTTTTTTCAGGGGGCATGGAGACATCTACGGACCATTCAGTTCCTTCTTTCTCTTTTTCATTAATGTCTGATTTGGAAATAAAATTTGAAAGCTGTGGAAAATTTCAGTTTGGAGGTATTAATTTTATGCCAAGAAAACCACATGTTTCTAATATTTTGTCAGGTTACAAGCTCATTTAGTTAGTTTCTCTCCTGTTTTTTTCTAACACTCTGAAAATAAAGTAGTGTAAATATTGGAAGTTCTACTGGGCCTTTTACATATTTCTGTCAAACTGTGTCTGAGCCTCGGGATTAATTATGTGTTTATCAAGCTTTCTCCAAACACTTCTACAAGACTACTACTTTTTTTTTATTGATTCAGGGCCTGTCCAGACAGGAGAATTTGGAGCGGTCTGGTTCTCATTTAAAAGGTTTTTTTCCCAGTGGAATCTATGTTATCTTTCATTTGAGTGATCCTTTTCTTTACACTGGATATGTCTTTGGACAGCCAGTTAATGCATGAGTAAGCTTTACTCAGTTTACTTATGAGTAAATTTAGCAAGAAAGGAAGCAGCAGCACATTATGGAATGCAAGCTCATGGCAGTGGTACTGGCAGGAGGGGGAAACGTTGGGGTGAAGTTTGGGAAGATGGCATTTCTCAGCTGGGGCTGTGCTGCCTTGGAGTCAACATATCCCTCTTCTCCACCTTTTTTTCCACAGCCACCATTCAGCTGGCTGCATCAATCTAGCATGGTATTAAAATTGTGCTGTGTCAGTTAGGCAAATATTTTAAAAAGATGAAAATAAAGAAGGGGATGTCTTCGTCCTCCCTTTTACTGCCACAACCCACCTATTATGTCACAGGGTTGTCACCTCAGATAGCACTGCCCACAGCTCCTTTTGGGTGTGAGATAACCATCCACACAGGCTACACAACAAGCTAATCAGAATTGCATTGAATCATACCATAAAGAATACATGTCCTAGCCCTATGCCAGAAAAGTGTGCAACAACTCTAAAAGGGGCAAGATAGCTTGTAGAAACACTTGTAGACATAGTCATTTGATTCAAACCAAACCCTACAAACAGTGATCCATATACTTATTTATATGCCCATCTGGACAGGCTCTCTGAAGCACAAAACACTTATCACACTCTGAGTCGGCGATAAAATGAAGTTCTAACAATAGGGAGCACCATCCTTTTCTAATGATAATCCGTAGGCGGACTTGTCTGAGTGCCATCGCACCTATCTGCTACTGTTATGGTAGCCACTATAAAACAGTACCAACCTTTTGATGCATGTATGCTTTAGAATTTATGGCTCAAAAAGGGTCAGCATGAATGCCCCAGCCATGTGGAAGCCACTGAACAACACTTCCACAAATGACGCTATGAAGCTATAATATGTGAAGTGGCTTGCAACACTCACTAGACAAATCCTATTGCGTATCTCCATGCCAAGGCACTTTGAGGAATGTATGTTGCTCATGTGGTAACTCTAATCTGGTGGTGACGTTTTGTACTTTGGAGGTCAAGAGGTGAAGTTTTGACCCATACTATGGAGTCATCACTTCACAGACCCAAAACAATGAAGTAACACATTTTTCTGTTGGCTTTCATGTGGTGCAAGTGAAGACAGCATGGTATGAGGCACAGATGAATAATATAACATAGTTGTCTTATAAGAGTTGGCAGTCTAATAGCAGAGATGAATGAAAGAAAAAGAGAAATTTATTTTAAAAAAGGAACACATGAAATTACTTGCAAATGAACACTTTAGTCAGTAGCAGACCGGAAAAGTGATATTAAGTGTTCTCACAGATGGATCCCTAACCTATGACCTTGAACTCTTCATTTTTGATCTAATCAAAGAGAAAGACATTCTGCCATGCACTTCAATGAGATATGCACCTTCCTCAATGACTCAGTATTATCTGTAAATACTTCCTTGTTTTATTTATTTATTTATTTATTT